TTGTTAACTCACTTGTAAGATGGAGACAATAAATGCAAGTCTAGTATTTTCTTAAGACTACTAATCTTAGAACAAGTACATCCTCTAATCAATTTTAAAATTTTGTATTTCACTAAAATGATGCATTATTTAGATTGATATCATTGATATATTTATTGTTGTTTGCAACCTTCACCATATTAGGGGCTAATATATGTTTATATTAGTTGGTAACATTTATTTGTAAACAATAAATACTATTAAAACATGTATTTATATACTTCTCTTAATAATTAAATAGACATGTCAAACCATTTAAAACACATCAAATGTTTTAATGTAATTTATGTCTGTTGATCTTGTAAGCCTTTTTTATGATTATTAACAATAAGTTGTCATCGATTTCTTAGTTTTATTTCCATAACTATTTGAAAGTACAGTAATGTTTTTCCCATTAGTTTTTGATATACTATTTGATTTGATTTGATTACTAAATTAATTATTCAATCAAAAGTATTATTTTTTTTTTAGCTATTTATTGGAAACTGAGTACTTAAAAATTAACATTGAACTTAAGTATTTATATAGATTGTATATTTCGACTTAAAATAAAAAATAAAATAAAAACTTAAGTATTTGATTTATGGAATACTCTTGAAAATTGTGACAACATTTTCCTAATTCCTTATGCTTTATTATACGCATATTAAATATTATAATTTGTATTCAATAAATGCTTGAATTTTTTAGTTACCATTTTTTTTCCGATTTAGAATACATTTATATTTAAAAACATAACTCAATTTTGTTATTTGTTTTAGCGCCTGTAAACAATTTTATATGCAACAACAATTGCGGTCGAAGTTATAAATATAAGCGTAGTTTATATAATCACCAGAAGTTTGAATGTGGAGTTCAACCAAAATTTGGTTGTAACCTTTGTTTTAAAAAATTTGCCCAAAGAGGAAGTCTACGGAAACATATGATGTTGATTCATAAAATACTAGAAGGCTGAAATAATAAAACAATTAAGACATTGTATCTTAAAACTGTATAAATGTATAAATTACACTAAATCTCAACCTTTTCTGTAGGTATATAATGGACATTGAAGCAAATCTTTTGTGTTACTAACATAATGCCTGAATAGTTTATAAAACCATATCTTAAATAAAGCTATAACAGAATTTTATCTTTTCTTTTTACATGTGTTGGCGTTTTAAATATTATATTATAGATGGTGTTTTGGTTTTTGAATTAATAAAATTAAAAAAATTAAATTTGATAACAGGCCAATTTATTGTAATATTATGACTAAGGCTCGGGACTTCTAGGAGTTTGCATGTTTTTAAATAATCATTAAAAACATAGCTAAGTAAAATAGAAATTTGTTTCATAGCATTACAAGTTAATATTTAAAATTTATAGTTGCATATTTTGCATATTTGACCATATTTCATTTATAAGTGCATATTTGACCATTTTTCATTTTATTAGTGCATGTTTGACAACATTATTTATACGAGAAGTGAGTTTTTAGTTTTATAAAAAAATTGTATTTTAAATAGATTTCCTGGACCGGATATAAATATTCAAAAATTAATGTTTGCGTTTTTCTTGCCTATCATTATAACTGTATTGTTATTTATCGGTATAACACACTCGTGATTCCCGATAGGCGATAAGCCGATAATGATACCAAAAAAACTATGACTAGTTGTAGATAGAGGCCAAACGATCCCCTGAATAGCAAGAGTTGACAGTTGGTGTCGTGCGTTCTTCGCATTTTGGTTTCGTGAAGTGTTTTTTCTTTCGAGTGAGCCCATAATAAAATAATTAAAAATGCCTAAACCAAAACCTTATGATCGGCTTAACGATTTTGTAAAAGAATATCATTTTTTTTAAATGCATATTTTTAATAGCATATTTATTGATTCTTTAGGGCATAAATGCTTGCATATTTTAAGGTTTTTAAAGGCATGAAGTCCCTAGCCCTAATTATGACTAACAACACAAAATGCATTCAGCTGAACTAAAATTATGTATGTTGTACATTTGTAAGACAGGTATAACAAATACAGCAGTTACATTCTAATAATTTTGGAACTATTTTAGTTTCCTAATGAATATTTAAACTGTATTCTGATGTTATCAATACAATTCATTTATCATGAATTATTGAAATATTAATTTTTGTTTCCTGCTGTCAACTGCTGTCTACCTTAAACCATATTGGGTACTATATGTCAGTATTAACAAAGTTTATTTGTAAATATAATTAAAAATTGTGTTAATATGTTTCTCTCAATAATAAAATGTACACTGCTTAACCTTTAAAACAAATCATTCTATTTTTTTTTTGTGTTATAATTATTTCTATTTTCTATATTATTTGAAACGTCAATGATATTTTTTCTTGTACCTGTTGAATTAAACTTAATCAGTCAAATGCACCCATTATTATTTTTATATTTTGTTACCTAAATATTATAAAAGTATATCAAAATTAACATATGAACTTTAGTATTTGATGGATGGAACTCGATAGACATTTTTCACACCATTTTCTTAACTTACCACAATGCTTTATTATATGCATATTTAATAACATAATTTGTATAATGAAATGCTTGAATTATTTCAGAACAACTATCTCCTATTTGGGGTACACTTATTTTAAAAAGATTACATAGAAATTATTTTCTGTTTTAGTGCCTGTTAACCGTTTTATGTGCAACAATTGCGGTCGAAGTTATAAATATAAGTGTAGTTTATTTAATCACCAAAAATATGAATGTGGAGTACAACCAAAATTTAGCTGTAATCTTTGTTTTAAACAATTTGCCCTCAGAGGAACTTTACAGAAACATTTGATTTTGATTCATAAAATATTATAACTATTTTTTTTTTGCTTTTAGCTACATGAGCTATTAAGTTTGTATACTGTTAGTACACTAGAAAAAAGTGGTTTTAATGTGGGGCAAGGATTCATCGCATTGAATCTGGGTAGTTACCCATCTGGAAGTCAATAATGCTGGGTAATGTTCATCTGCAGCATACATTAGTGACTGAGGCCAATCACTACACCACGCTAGGCCTTATTTTAACTATTACAACAATTACAACAATTACAACAATTAAAATACTGTGTGTTTAAACAATAATCTGTAGGTATAACTGGTTAGTGGTTAAACCAAACTTTTACTCGTTTACCTTGTATGTTACTACAGTGAATTTTTAAACACGTATTTTGTGCTACAGACATAATGCTTGAAGAGCTTATTTATGTGTAAACAGTCTTGCCAATAAAGATATTACAGTGTTCAATAATTTCTATATCTAAATCTCAGATTTTTTTCAATCTTCCTATTTTGTTCACATTTGTTTACTAAATATTATAATATGAGTATACAATAATTATCTCTTGAATTTCTGTATTGGATGAATAAAACACATTATAGAAATTGTACAAATAATTTTGTCAACTCCCTCTTCTGCTTTATTGTATGCATATTTAATAATATAATTTGTATTAATCAAATGCTTGAATTATTTTATAATTATTATTCTTGGGATAAACTTATTTTAAAGAGATTACATAGAAAATAATTTTATTTGTTTTAGTGCGTGTTGACGGTTTTATGTGCAACAGTTGCGGTCGAAAATATAAATATAAGCGTAGTTTATATAATCACCAGAAATATGAGTGTGGAGTCCAACCAAAATTTAGCTGTAATTTTTGTTTTAAACAATTTGCTCACAGAGGAACTCTAAGGAAACATTTGATCTTGATTCATAAAATATTATAACTATTACAACGATTAAAATTCTGTATATTTGTACAATAACTTGTATAACTGGTTACTGATTAAACCAAACTTTAACTTTTGTATCTTTTATGTTACTTGATTGAATTTTTAAACACACATTAAGTTCCATCAACATAATACTAGAGGAGTTTATTTATTTGTAAGCTGTTCTTAAAATAAAAGCATAATGTTCAAAATTGTCATCTTTTCCTTTTTTAATGCTTATTAAATATGACATTGTGATTTGATAATATTTTTGCTAAATATTTTATAAGTTTACAATAAGTAGCACTTGAACTTTTTTGTTTGATATACAGTAATTAATAGAAATTGTACACGGTATTGTCTTAATAACGCCCTTCTATGCTTTATTGTATGCACATTTAATAATATAATTTGTATTTTACAAATTATTGAATTTTGTATAACTATTATTCTTTGATTTGGAGTACACTTATTTTTAAATGGTTATATAGAAAGCAGTATTTTTTTGTTTTAGCGCCTCTTAATTGTTTTATGTGTTACAATTGCGGCCGAAGTTATAAATATAAGCGTAATTTGTTTGCTCACCAGAAATATGAATGTGGAGTTCAACCAAAATTTAGCTGTAATCTTTGTTTTAAACAATTTGCTCTCAGAGGAAGTCTACGGAAACATTTGATCTTGATTCATAAAACTCTATAATTATTATAACAATTAAAATACAGTACATTTATTTAATAACCTGTACTACTGGTTAATGATTAAACCAAACTTTAACCCTTTTAGGTCCTTTATGTAACTATAATGAATTTAAAGTATATATTCTGTGCCACCAAAATTATGCTTGTGTAGTTTATTTATTTGTTAATCATCCTTCAAGGTACTTCAATATTTAATTATTTTATTTCATTGTTTTTTTGCTTGAATTAAATATAACCTTTTCATTTAATAATTCTGAATATGTACGTAATATACCTACTAATTATTTTAATGTGTTAATTAGTCTATAAAATAATTGACATTTGAATTTCGGTATTTGATCGATGGAACACAATTATATTTTGCCGCCACATTTTCTAAACTTTTTATGGTTATAATATTTATACATATTTAATAAAATAATTTGTTTTACTTGTTTTTAAATTTAGGGTACTTTTATTTTAAAAATATTACATACAAAATAACATTATTTGTTTTAGTGCCAGTAAACAGTTTTTTTTGCAACAATTGTGGACGAAGTTATAAATATAAGCGTGGTTTATATCATCATCAGAAATATGAATGTGGAGTCCAACCAAAATTTTCCTGTTATCTTTGTTTTAAGCAATTTGCTCACAAAGGAAGTCTACGGAAACATTTGCTCTTCCTTCATAAAATTATTATATAATAATATATAACATCTTAAACTTTAAGAACTACATGTCTTTTTCTACCATCTATAATGTTATCATACATTTATAACATATTTTAAACCATAAATTATATATAATACCTACATAATATAACGATCAAATTATTTTAAACTGTCTTATGATTAAAATCAATATTTAATCATTTTAGCAAGGTTTTAATATGTATAGGCAGATTTTTAAAAGCATGCTCACTCCAATATAGGGGTTTATACCTACTTATTTTTCAATTTTGTTTGCTAAATGGTATTAGAGTATACAGTCATTTTCAGATTTGGAGTATACTTATATTTAAAAAGATTATGTAAAAAATGATAGTATTTGTTTTAGTGTGTTAAGTATGTTATATGTAACAGTTGTGGTTGATGTTATAATTTATAAACATAAGTATACTTTAATTCCTCACCAGATATTTGAATGTAGAGTTCAACTAAAGTATAGTTGTGATATTTGTTGTAGATTATTTGTCCACAGATCGCGTCTACTGAGTCACTTGTTCAGAATTCACAAAATTATATTACAACAAAATAACATCTTAAATTATGTGCCTTCAATCTCTTATGTTATCATACATTATTACATATTTTGAAGTATATATTATTTTATCCACATATAATGATCAAATGACTTAATTATTTGTAAACTATCTTTAAAAGGAAACTGATATTTAATATTTGTATTTTTCTTACAGATCTAAGCATGTTATATACAACATTGATTGATGCACTGAATATTGATGCAAAACCTACAAATGTTATTTCTACTTTTAAAGACATTAAAAATATTATGGATGTAATAAGTCACCACAGTTTAAATGTTAACTCTGTGATAAAATGTTCACACAGCCTGATACTTTGAAATACCATGTAGCATTAAAACACTATTACACTTGAAGATGTACTAAGGTCATAACTAGAGCAAGAACTTTCATGCATTAAAAAATCATCAAATATGCATTTAAAAACATGCACTTATGCATCAAAAAATTAAAAATATGCGGTTAAATATGCCCTTAAAAAAATTAATTTTATTATTATTCACTATAAGTAAATTGATTTGAATTTTTTTTTAATGTCGGATCCCATTCTTTTTCATTATTATCCGTTGAAAGTACAGATTCACCAAACTCGATTACAAAATTACACAAACAATAAGCTTTTGTCGAATTTTTTTTTTGGCATATTACTCACGAACGTTATATACAAATTAAACTCGTGGAACTTACACACACGTGGTAAATCTACTAGAACTAATCTAATCCACCCACTGACTATAGATAGTTACTTGATACTATAAAATTTATCTCTATCGTCTTTATAAGTTTATAACAAATTGTTGATCTTGATTCATGGAAAATATTCACCAAAGTGCTCGATTTTCGATAAACCATCAAAATATGCACTAAAAGCTTAAAATATGCTCTTTCAATCAAAATTATACCCCTTAAACCAAAAAATGTCCAAATATGCAAAAATATGCACTAAAAACTTTTAGCTTTTGGTCACTAACGTTGTGAAAGGTATTGTGTACTTACTCTGCATACGTTTAATTAAACCAGAAAAAACATGCAAATACATGAAAGTCCTTGCTCTAGTCATAACAATACTTAACTCTCCCAGCTTAATTAATGCATTTTATGGTTAGTTTTTTATCAATTCATTAATATTGTATTCTTTTGTAATATAATAACTTATTAATTGAATAATACTAAGCATTTTGGAATGTAATCACCCTTAAGAATATTAAAAATGTGTATTTTGATTTGAATAAAACGATTTATTATTATATGATGATCTATTGATATATTACATTTTTTTTTCTGCTAACAACTTTAATTATATTACTATATCAATAGGCAACACCATTTAAAATAAATCCGTTTATTTTTAATATGTATTATCTTTTAGCTTAGCTTGTAAGTAAAAATATTAATTTTTGACGATTCTTTCATTTTATTTAAGATTTGCTTATTTCGATAATCTACAATAATTGAAGTTTGTGATGTAATTTTCCTTTAGTGTTTCGTATTATACTATTTGATTTGTATGTTAAATTAATTATTCATTTAACAAATTACTATTTTTTTTAATTTTGATAGCTAAATATTTTTAGAATTTAAAATAATTAATACTTGAATTTTGGTGATACAATTTAAATTTCGCACTATATTCTCTATACTTTTTATGCTTAATTATACGCATATTTAATAATATAATTTCGATTAATCAAATGCATGGATAATTTTGAGATTTGACTATTTAAAAAGATTATATAGACATTTTTTTTTTATTGATTTTAGTGCCTGTAAGCTATTTTATGTGCAACAATTGCGGTCGAAGTTATAAATATAAGCGTAATTTATTTGCTCACAAGAAGTATGAATGTGGAGTTCAACCAAAATTTAGTTGTGATATTTGTTTTAGAAAATTTGCCCACAGATCACATCTACGAAATCATTTGATTACAATTCATAAAATAATATAATAATGAAATGATACTGCAATGGAATAAAAATACATCATTAAATGTATTATAGTTCAAATATATTTTCATTCTATATTTAATTGTATTTATGATTTTTTAGTGTATCTAAACAAGTTATTCCCATCACCTTGTTTTCATAATTTAATATTAGCAAGTTACAAACGCCTACAATTTTAGAAGTGTTTATGTTTCACCTAATTTGTTGTAAAATAATACAAATGTTGTTTTAATTTTATTTATTTTGGCATGACCCACTGAAATAATAATATTTGATTACTAAACATATTTACAATTAAGTTCCTTAACCTAATATTGAGTCAGTTTTATAGTATCTATTGTAAAATATTACACAAGTGTATATTTATTATTTTCTTCAAGTTTTATAGTAAACAGGTGTTCTAAACAACTCAATATTTAATTTAAATAATAAAATGTATGGTGCGGAGCCAAAATATATAGCTATTTTTAGGAGGAAACGGTTGATTTGAAACATATATTTATATGTGTGACAAGAATGTGTTGCTAAAACCCTGGGTGGTCACCCATCCAAGCGCTCATAATGATGGCCGGTACTTACGTTCAAAGCTTTGACGCAGATTGAGCGTATGACCGCTCCTCCTCAAGTCACAACTTTTGATTTATGTTTAAAATTATACTATTTATGTTATGTAAGTATATTTTCAAACTTGTCTGTCTTGAACTTAACCAAAAGAACCGTCCATTTTTTTTTTTTAACTTTTATTGCTCTTTTAATGTATACATAAAAAATAATTTTGTTCAATTTACTTGCAATTATTACAAGTTACTTATTTACATGTAATTGTTTTACCTATTAAAAGTATTAAAATTCGATGATTGGGCATAAAAATGTAATTTAAATTTATAAAACATATTTGGTGATTCTACAACTGTAGGTCGCCAATAATTTAGTAGTACTGTAAGATTACTTGGTATTATAATTCTGTTTATATTAACATGATCTTAGTTTTTCTAATTGGCATTTGTACATATTTTACTAAGATGATGGTAGATGCAGTAGAGTTTTGGTAGCTTAAATTTTTTTCTTGAGCCTTGAAGAATGTTTATAATGTGTTTAAGGTATTTAAAAAAAAATAATACATAAACAAATTTATTTTTATTCTCCTTGAGATTTGAGTCTGTTATTATTAACCTGTGATACATGCAAGTTATTTATTTATTTAACATATATAGCGGGTGGTGCCTCAATAGTGCAGTAAATTTACAGGTTAAAGGTTGAACCCCCCCCCCCCCAGGTACGGCCTTGTATTACATTATATTATTAATCATATTAATTAATGTATATTTGTAGTTTTTCCAAAATTTTTACCTGAATACTAATGCATGAATCATGGAAATTATCAAAATTACAAAATACTTATACATAATTCAGTGTTCCAATTGTATTAATTTGAAATGTCAGTGTTTCATTCGTTTTTAAACATATTGATCAGAAAATTGATCTCAAACACCATATGATTTCTGCTTATGTAAATACATTTATCAAATAAATTATTAATTGACTTGATGACTTATTGTTTTATTGATTTCAACATTCTTGTATATGAGTACATACATTTATTATAATTTATATTTATATTATTGATTTATATTTTTGATTTACTGTGATAATCGATTTCGTTTCACGGCGCTTATTTTTACTGGTATTGATAAAAATGTACTTTATATTATGTATGCATATATCCATAAGGCTATTGTAATACCTACTAGTAATATACTATATAGTATAGGTACACTTTATTTCATCGTTTGCTGGTTAAGCTTATTATTGATATACAACTTAGCTGACCCAATGTATTGTTTTCTGTGACTTAATTGTGCACTCTCATTTGTTTTACAGAAAACAACAATTATTTCTCATTCACGTGTCCTCGGTGCCACAGAATGTACAAGCACAGGGCTAGTTTGAATAGCCATCTAAAGCTCGAGTGCGGCGTAGCTCCACAATTTCGATGCATCGCGTGCGGCAGACAATTCACTTGGAAGCAACACCTGAAGCGTCATATGGTCTCCGTGCACAAGATTTTGAACATTAAATAATAAAGCCTTGTCCATGAATTATATATATCGGTACTACTACCTACTTTTATACAAAATATTGTGTATTTTTTTTTTTTACATTTTACTTTTATAGTTTGAAATTTTAAAATGTTAAAGTACAAAGACTGTTTGAAAACTATCGGGACACACGTGATCTATTATGGCAAATTTACATAATATGGTATCGCTTTAAATGAAAAATGTATTTTAATCAAGTACCTATTCTATATTGACGTATGAATACTTTTCTAGATTAGATTTTCTTACAACATCCAGAAAAATTACGAACCTGGTGTTTCCACAACGACTGTTCACCAGCATTATTGTCGATCTGTAAGTTTTTGGCTGATAAAATGTTGTGATGCCTGTGATTATCTCGCACCTTTGTTATTCTCATAAACTGGTACATTATGTGGTTTCATTCTTTTTTTCTGAGATTCATTTGCGCTAAAATGTTAATTATTTCAAGATATAGAAGAAATAAAAATAAATAAAACAGAACTTCAAGCCACAATTTCCGAACAGTTCTATTATACTTTTGACAAATGGCAAGACCGCACGATTGTATTTTGTTTGGCGGAGAGACGAGAGTATTTTGAAATAGATATCTTAATAATGTTTGTATTAATTAAAAATCGAATCCCGGTAATTTTTGAACAGATCTCGTATACAAAAATACTACAAACAAATTATTTAATTGTGCAAATTACGTCTATTGGATAATTCTATCCCAGTGACGGACGAATATAGTATAAACGCGTGATTTAGTAAATTATTTTAGTTATTATTGGTAAATCATATAGATCATAAGTATTGAGATCGCACTTGCATTCCCCTCGAATTGTTGTTTGTTTGGATGAATAAATTAATTAACCATGTATACATTTATATTATATTATAATATGATATTTTGATCGTTGTTGGACTATACATACTTAGTAAGACATATCTGCTTGGCCTTAAAGTTAATTAAGCTGGGGACTGGTGTCTTGTTTTTTCTCGGTAAAAAGGTTATATATTATAATTATAAATGTTCGTTATTTTTATTTACTGCTACACGTCTACACCACTACTAAAAAAATATGTAAAATATTCCAGAAATTTCACCAAACAATAAAGTTTAACATAAAATAACAACTATTTGTAATTATAATATAACATTTTATTCATTTTGTACACTCTTACTACCATACTTCATTAGTCATTACCTATATTTATTTATAATTTAAGTTAGTACCGAAGAATATGAAATTAAAGATATTTCATATATACCTACATATACTTATTTTACATTTTTACATATTTATTTAAATAGAATTGCAACAAATAATTTACAAGGAAATATAGTTTAATTTTTAAAATAGTACAAAAAACGTTTCATTTTTATTATTTGCCTGACTTGAAATAGGCATATAGTTTAACGTCTGGTCATTTAACTAATTGTCTAGGCTGTTAGTAAATCGCATAAGAATTAAATTTCATGATTATTTGACTAGGCATTTAGTAAAATGCCCGATTCGACTATATTATGTATGCGACATACCAAAAAATCTTAGTATTATCCAACCCATTTTAATCCAGAGCAGTAGAACCCCCCCCCCCCCCTCCCCACAAGCTGTGGGCCACAACATCACAATAGTTCCGCTTATGACTCTGTAATGGCTGTTTTTAATTTATTTCTGTGTTTATACTTTTATAGCTACTATTTGTTTCAAATAATATTATAATCTATACTATATAATATTATAATATTATATTAGTTTACTTCCACGCTGCAATTATTTTGAAATGTATACACGTTTAAGGGATTTGTGAACAAGTGTTAAATTTTGCAAATCGTCTTTACTTCTCGTATATTTATATAAGATTATACTAACCTAATAGTTATGCATAAAATATATCTGGAATGCTGTAACTATTTACGCCGATATTATAATAAGGTAATTTACAAGTTAACAACGTAATCAGCTTTGTCAATGTTTTGAACAGCGGTTTTACTTTTCTCATCTCATATCGAATATTACTACATTTAGATCACTATTGAAATATGATTTTTGTTGCTCATTGTTATTTATGGTTTATTCTCACTTTTTTAAACACATATTTGTATTATTTTAAGTTTAAGACATGTATAGTTTTGCGTATATTAATACATAACGAATTTACGACATAATATTTATAATTTATACGTACACTTGAATAATCTTAGTAATAATGATCTT